TATATATGTACATATGCATACATATATGTAACTATATATACACATAGTTAATGGAACAGCTCAAAACTCCCCACTTGGCGGATCCTGGGCTTGCTGCGTGTACCAGGGCGTCTTCCAGCGGACGACCCCGCTCCAGCTGGCACGAATGGCTTCGGCTTTGAGGAGTGCCTTTGGGCGTTTAGAAGGCTAGTGTCTAGGGGTTACATTCCGAGGGGTTCGGCCCGCAACGATCAGGGTTTAAGGAGTGGGGATTGGTTCAGCCCGAAGGATTTGTAGACCAGAAATTGGAGCATCCTTGCCTGGATGGATGCCTTTCATGCAAAGGAGAGAGCATCCTGGCACTAATCACCTGGAGACCATGTTGCAACTTGTGGCGTTCACTTTAAGGCTTTAGGGACTCAGCTTTCAGGTTAGGGTTTCAGAGTTGTTCTCCGGTCTAGAGCTCTGAGTTGCAGGATGTTGTTGTTATGGCTTTCAGATTTCGGGTTTCTGATAAAGAGCCGATAAGGAAAGACATAATTTCATTTGCCATCCAGCTTGTGCTCATGGCCTCCTCCTGGTGCGACCGCTGCTGCTGTTCCTGCCCTCCTCCCTCCTGCTCTTGATCCTGCTCCTACTCCTGTGTACTCGTCCTGCTTTGACTCCACTAGCACCACCACCACCACCGCTACCACTACCAGCACCACGACAACTACGACGACGACAACTACTGCGACGACTGCTGCAGGAAATGGACATTCATTTTTCTCAATCCTGGTATAACAGTATTGCTGCATTGCTGGTTTCGCTAGTCGGAGTTAGAATTTTTGATCGACAGTGTTTTCTGTGAAGAATCTTGACAATGCATTGCCCCGCGCCGCGCTGCATCTCAAGCTGTCGGCCGAGAGCGGCTGCTTTCAAAGAACTAGCATGTGCATTGCACTTTTCTTTGCTTTGCAACTTTCAGCACATGCTCTTGCAGCTTTAGCATAATACTTGTTTGGTCGGCTCGTCTTGAACCTTTGCCCATGCACTGCACTGCTTGGATATAATATTGTTTTCGCACCTCTTTTAAGCCTAGCCTTGCCACGGCCTCTCGTGTTGGGAACCGCAAGAAGGCACGAACTGTCCATTCTCAAGTCTGCGTTTCATCAACGTGCTCCGCACCTTCCGCAATTCCCGCATAGTCAACTAGTGTTGGCCAGATTTCAGCATTGGTCTGGTTATCCACGTGAAGCCTGCTTGTGCAGCACCGGCACACGCAGCTGCCTCGGTACCGCACGCATTGCAAGTCTGCTACTGCTCTGCTGCATTGCATCGCCTAGCTCTTCCCAGTCTTTGCGCGCCATCATGCAAAGCAACTGCGATATCACTCCAGGTGACAAACGCATTCCGCTCAGCATTGCCTTTCGCAATAAGCCTGCAGCACTCAGAATCTGTGTGGCTTTTCAAATTTCACGCCCTTGTAATAAGCAACATGCAGCATCGCTCACTATGCTCTGTGCAGGCGCCGCTTCGCATTGCGGCGCTCCTAAGGGCACGTTATCTTCCAGGCTTCCAGGCCAGGCCCAGCCTTGAGCTCTGCTGGATTCAGATTCGCATCGCTGGTTACCTTTTCGGTAGTTTGCCTAGCACAGCCTTGCGCAGCTTGTCATACAGCCCTTGCACAAGCCTGGAACATCGATGTCCTCGAACGATAGGCCCTGACACTTTAAGCCCCTCTGCCCTGCATGGCTTGCACCCGCACCTGCCGCACTGCACGCGGCTACGCATGAGCCCCGCCACGCTCACCAGCACCGGATTTTGCTCCGTGCCAAGCACGTCCGTTCCCAGCGCTAGCGACACCGCTTCCGCAGAAAGCCGGGTCAACCGCCTGTCCCCGCTGAACTGCTGAGCACCTTCTACTGCGCCTTGCAGCTAGTTGGACGCACCTGCACGGCGTGCAGTTCCAAGTGGAGCACCTTGCGTGAGAGAACAACAAGTGGGTAGATGATCTCAGCCGAGGGCGCCTGCGATGCATCCAGCACCGCTAAGCCGAGCGCGCCACGCATCCCGCTCGAACAGCTTGTTCCCGCATGACACACCGTTTCACTTCGCCTTCCATCGTGCCTCCGCGAGGCACTGCGCAGCCTCTTGCGCTGACGCAACGCTTCGCACCAAAAAAGGCCTTCCTTTTGTTGGCTTGACGCGCACTGTTTTTGTGACTGTTCAGCCTTCTTACACTCCGCTCTGCCACGCCGGGTACTCTCTTCTCCAACCTCGCACGGTGAGGGCTCTAGTCCGCGAGACAGAGGTTGCCGAAGTTAATTAAAGGGGGGGGGCATCTGCTCGGCATCGCATTGCCATGCATCTTCTGCTTTATACTGGCATCGCTCTGCCTCGCACCGACTTCAGCATCCTCTACGAGTATTACGAGTACAAAAGAGAGATCGCCTTGCTTTTGTGTGGTAGTGCTTCTTTACTCACAGTAGGCTTCTACAGAGAACGCTAGTCGTGAGTTTGTATTTTTGGTCGACAATGTTTTCTGTGAGAAATCTTGGGAATGCATTGGCCCGCGCCGCACTGCATCTCAAGCTGCTCTCAAATGAAATACCCGCCCACCCAGCCCTGAACTATGGGTATAGGGGGGCATCTGCTCGACGCCGCATTGCCACGCATCTTCTGCTTTGTACTGGCATCGCTTTGCCTCGCACCGACTTCAGCATCCTTGCGAGTACAAAAGAGAGACCTGCTTGTTTTTTGTGTGGTAGGGCTCTTTACTCACTGTAGGAACGCCGTGGAACCTGTTCAAGTAGAGTCAGTGAATGTAAATGACCAGCACAGAGCAAGCACCGTAGCCCTGCTAGGACAGGATTCGACGGCACGACCCCAACAATCGTTCCGGTCAGCGTGATTCAAAGGCCCACGCAGACGAACCATCAGATCACAATTGTGTTTGCAGGAAGTCTTCTGGATCATTTTCGGGCCCAGGGCAGGCCGTGAGTTTCGATTCTGCGCAGCCCCATGTGCACACCCCAAATCCACGGCCTTTAGTTTGATCATTCACACATGCTTCAATACAACTCCGAAATGACACGAACAAGTTGTTGTGAATGTCCGTGCCGGTTATCTGCTAGTCCTGTAACAACCTCGCCATGAGAGTAGGTACACAGAGTGTAACAAGTCATACTCGGGATAAGAAGATTCGCAATCATGGTAAAAATTGTCATGGTCATAGTAAGGAGCCCTCATTCAGAACAACCTGGATCTGAGGCCTGGGCAAAGAGTACCTGGTTGTGTCGGTCATGTCGGGTGGAGCCGGAGAGGAGGGCCAGGACGATCATTCTGGGTGCGGCAAAAAAGCCAAGACATGCATGAGACCAAACATGACACCTTGACACCTCAAACTTTGAGCCCTAATCTCTTAGCTTACAGTTTGTAAACCCTGAAGCTAATTACACCCCTTACTCTACAAGCCCCAGACGCCTCATTGCTAAACCGCAAAACCCGTCAGGACCAGCACCTGTGCAAGTTGGCCATGAGGAGCCTGCGGTCGGCTTTCGGGCTGAAGATGAGGTCATTGCTCTGTGTGGTGGACCCAACCGACCCTCGCTTGCTACGGCTGATATGGTTTTGTAAGTGCTTGATTCAGGGTTTCGGCTTAGGGCTTAGGGCTTGCATGACAGTCAAGGGTTTGCGACATTCTGTTCTGCTTTAAATCTAGTGACTTCTGTAGCAGGAGTAGAAACTTGAAATCCAAATCCTAAAACACTTAACGGCTTAGCACTAACGGCGCTTTTGTAAGCGCGAATGGAACCTAGGAGTTTTGTTTGTTCGTGCGCCTTGAGAAATTTCCGAGGATCGAGACAGACAGTTCAAGTTGAAGTTTCTGCGATCCCTACCGAACTCGGCGAACTGGAGCTGGTGGAAAGAGAACTTTAATCACCTCTGGACCCATCGAGTCGCAGATGGCGTTACCATGGCAGGCCGCTTTCCCTAAACTCTAAATCTAAGCATCTCTTAGCCGCTCAGCATTCAGAAGTCGATTTGCGATACTGTTACCGTTGCTGATCTCTGTTCTGTTCTTTGGTTCGGTGTGTTGCTGTGGATTGTGGGGTTTGTGTTGCTTGGGAGTTCCAAAGTTGAACCATGCGCAGACGTCCCAATACCTTACTTGAGTGACCCTCCGCCCATGCACAAGCCTAGTAAGCGCCTTCTGTTCCAAACTTCAGCCCTGGAGTTCACGAACATGCTCTTGAGAACTGCATCCAGGCCATGTGCAGAGTTGGACCATGAAGCAAATGTGTCTCCAAGAGGTCGTGAAGCTGGAGAGGCTTTGCTCTATGACGTTCGTGCTTTAGATTTTAGACGCTCTACTGAGCGGGTCAGCCAGGGTTCAGGGCTGAAAATGTTTTGGATTGTTAAATTGCAAAGTTTCGGGTGCGGGTCTTAGGATCTTCCGGTACTGCATCTGTTTGCTGCGATTGGGTCCGGGTTTCCAGCGGTCTTTTGGTCAGAAGCAGTCCACAGTACGCATTCCTTCTGAACTGGACAATCCCAGAAATCCTAAACCTAATTTCTACCATGAGTTCAAAAGTTCATATACTTGGGAGATAGTCCGAGTCTCTGCAATCCAAATCCCTTGCCGGATCCCGACAACGATGAACCTAGGAGAAGGCTGCCAGCGCTTGTGGACTGGGTGATCTACTTGCGCTCGGACTTAGATTTTCTGGCTCCGCATCCCCCTCTCACGCCTATGGCTGCGATGGGCCCTGGTCGTGTTTGGATTCCAGACGTCATGGTTTCTGCACCGCAGTTTGGAAATCCCGGGGCGTTTCCGTTCTTTCTTTATATGGATTCTGCGCCATCTGCACACATGCATCTTCAGTTTAATCCACCCAATATTGATGCCAAACTCAGAACCCGAAACACTAAACCGTAAACGCCTGAAGCACTAAAGCCCCAAGCACCAAAACCCACAAGCTAAACCCGAACGCCCGAAACTGGGACCCAGGATTGGGGAGGTCTGAATGATCGCTGGGCAGTCATGTCGCGCGACGTGGCACCCGTCTACCTGGGCCGGATTCGGGATCTGATCGAAATTCGGCAATATGAGTACATGCCTTCTGTCTTTTGTGTCCCAATGGAAGGTTTTAAGATGACAGTTTCAATCTAACTACGTGTCTAAAACATGCTTTTATTACTCACAGCACGATCAGCAGCACCGATTTGATTTTACAGCCTGTAATACGCCACAGCGTCTAATACTAATGGTGTTTTGATGATCATTCCTGAAGTGGTGGTAGCGTGCGGCTGGGATTTGCTATATAACATTGTTTGCAGGGGCTTATTCACTTCTCCGTGGATTTTCGGGCGAAGTCTACAATGCAATAGTTTTGCACAGCGGACTTTTTGTCCCCTCTGTTAATGGTTAATCTTAAGGTATCCTCCAAAAGCCCAACCCTGGAATCAACAAATCCTGAAGCTCCCTAAAGCCCGAAGCTCCTAAACCCTATAGTTAAATTAAAAAGAACCCTGAATTATATCTAACTATACTTTATACGGCGGATGCTGGCATGAGTTGGATTTCTATAACAAAAAAATTGAAATGGCTCAGCGTCAGATTCTAAAATGTGGTCCCCGCCTCCTTCGCTGCTGGTGCTTCCAGCCCTCCATCCCACCCCTCTAGCCCTGCAGCCAACCCTCAGCTATGAGGGCTGGAGGGTTGGGGGAGCGGAGGGAGGGCTCGAGGGCTGAAGAAGAAGCAGTAGCAAGTAGTAGTAGTAGTAGTAGCAGCAGCAGCAGCAGTAGTAGTAGCAGTAGTAGCAGTAGTAGCAGCAGTAGTAGTAGTTGCAAAGAGACCACGCTGCCTAATGCAATTCTGGGTATCGCAGTCTGAGCTATGATGAACAGTGTACATCGCAGTGGGCTACCACATCACGACCAACATATTGCGCGGTGAGGTGAGCATCATACGATATCATCGTATACCAACCCTCACGCAGGTTATCAGCCGCAGGCTCTGCCTACACAAGGACTTTGACATTGGACACCCACATCAGCTATGGCTTCTGGATCAAGTGCAGATACGGCAATGACCTTTGTTGGTGGCGAAGTTGCAGCGCCGGCAGCTGGTGAGTCAACTGCCGACGACCCCCCGACCATCTCGGTGGATTCAGCAACTACAGAAGAAGAGAAGAAACAGAAACCTTCGGCGTCATCTTCAAGTCGTCGCCCGAGGCCAAGAGCACGTTCGGCTCCAAAGACTCTGTCGCAAACGCGATCAGCGTCAGCAAGTACAAGAACCAAAGCAGGCGAAAGACGTCCGTGTAAGACGGTGATGCAGTGTTTGCAAACAACCACAAGGACAAAGGACCGTGAAACAAGAAGTCCAGAGCAGATGAAACTCAGATCTTCTTCGAGGAGTACGTCTCGGAAAGCTTCAAGGAAGAAATCCCAGCCACCTATGCCGTTGGCGAGGCAGCTGGCGACCGACCCTGCCCCGATGTCTTTGACGAGGGATCAGGCAATGTCTACTCCAAGTGACAATGACACTGCTGACCTCTTGCTCGACAGGGCATTTCGGCAACAGGAAGCTACGCGACACAATCGCCCTGTGTTGAGTCGTACGAGTCGACCTCGAGCGGTCAACAGCCAAATCATCGAGCAGTTGAAGCACGCTGAAGAGGAAATGAGAATCTTCCATCAACAAGATCTTCAACGACATGAAGCAATCGAGAGGGCTATGACCAAGAAAGTTGCATTGAGAAGATGATACAAGAGGATCAAGGTTCGACGATGCGGATTGAAGAGTTTGAACGTCAACGCGATACGCTCAATGCTGCAGTTGGTCACGTGAATCAAGTGCATCAATACGCCAACACGGAGTATACCCTGGTGGTGCAGAGGATTGAGGAAGCGAGCCAAGCGCAGCACCGTCGCGATCAAGAAGTGGCGGAATCTCTACAGCAGCAATTGGGACATCTTCGGAGCGAAGCTTCCCAGAGCTTCGTGCAGTACGAACGGCAAGTTCAAGGAGAAGGTCTCAACATGGCGAGAGAGTATGAGAAGCTCGTGGATGAACTTCAAGAGAAATCTCGTGAAAACCTTCAACTCAGGGTGGAATCTTCGAATAGATCGATAGTCTGCCGTTGCATTCATGGCGAACAAGGTCGAAATGACGAGAGGAGCGGAACAAGCGACAAAGACGAGGCAGGAAGCGCAATGCTTGCAGTGGAATCTGGAGTTCAATCTCTACAATCTACAAGACCGCTTGAAAAAGGAAGAGAATGCCCCATCCGAAGCTGCAAGGCGGGTGGAACAAGCCGAAGATCATATTCGTCAAGCTCGAGAAAGAGAACGCCCTCTATCCGCGTTACACGAGGAACTGGGTGAACTACGTCAACGTCTGAAACAACAAGAAGAGCTGCAATTGCATGCTCAGCAGATGTGGAAGCAAGAGCTTGATGCGGCGCGTCGAGTACCTCAACAAGTTTCTCAACAATCCTCGAGCATGCCGATCTCATCGAGAACTTCTGACGCGGGATGGGAGTATGTCCGTAGCCAAGTCAGTAGTCAAAGAGGGTTATCTTTTCCATTAGGAGCAGAAGTGCGATCCCTTGAACTTGGTACTCCTAGTCAACGTAGTCCGCTGAATCGAGAGAGGATCGTCACTGAAGAGCAACCTGCTGTCACGCCCATTGTGCAAGATGTCAACATGGGTTTTCAAGGTCCACCTTGGCCATCTAGCGCAGATTCAACTTCAAAGGGAAAAGAGACGCGTGATGCCCAGCTTCGTGATCTATCGTCTACTACACCACCATCCAAGAACGTCTTTGAGGAAGAGAACATTGCAGCAAGTTGATTGCGGAGTTGATAGAGCGTGATGCAGAAGCGTTTGTCAAAGAAGGCAAACAAGATCGCACTGCTTTGCGGGCGACTCCTGCTGCTCAATCATCAACGTCTACATCGGGAGATCAGGAACGTTTGGCTAGGCTCGAAGCAGATTACACTGTACAGATGGCTGAGCTTCGTGCTGAACTACCTCAAGCCAAGCAAACTGAAGATCGGTTCCGTGATGATCGCGATCAATGGCGTCAAACCGCAGAGTACCTCCAAGAGAACAGTCAACAGGGTCCAGAGGATGAAGAGCAAGAAGAAGGCGAAAAAGAGGAAGATTAAGTGCCTCCCTCTGAATCACCTACGAACCTCGGACCTGCTGGCGGTGGTGGAGGAGGCGATGATGACGATGACTCTCCGTCTCGAAGACCTGGGCATCGCGGTGGTGATTCCTTCTGGACCTCCTCCAGGTGATCCCGACAACGATGGTGAACCTGAAGTCACCGAAGTCAAGATTCCGAGAAGGGAAGCTGACAAGGTCGTTGTCCCACACTTGGACAGCTGGATGTCAGGTTGCATCGCAAATGTGCTCAGCGCTTGTGCAGATGCAAATTATGAAGATTGGATTGGTTGGTGGCAACCAGCCTTCTGCCCAGGTCCTGATATTGAAGGAATGAACGAGTCGGGTCACATCAGGTTCAAAAGCATTGACGTGAAACTTGGTGTTGCTATGACAGCCATGCTCAAGTCAGCCGGTGACAACGCTGCCGATCTCTACCTGGATGCGAACAGGAAGGCCAACCACTATGTTCGAACAATCAAGCGAAGGCAGATCATCGCAATGATGTATGAGAGTTTCCGATCGCTCGGACATGATCGTCACGCTGGATTGCCTTATCAAGCTTCAAGATCAAGGTGATCAGAAGATGACTTCATTCGAACAGACATGGTTGGAAGTGATTGACCGCGTGCGACCAGAGGATGTTCCGTCCAAGACAGCTTTGCGAGATACACTCCACGCCAAGATCAAGGATTCACCAGTGTTGAAAATGGAACTTCTCGTCCAATACGACATGCTGCCGTACGATCACCCCAAAAGATCATACGAAACTCTACTCCACCTCATTGACAGATGTGTTCAGAGGAATCGTGAACAAAAGAACCTGCAGCAGACGCGTATTGGTCTTCAACAGATGGTTCAGGGCAAAGATCTCATGGCCGTTCCAGCGAGAACCAAGGAGACTGAGAAGGATAAGGCAGTTCCTGCTCCCAAGAAAGGTGGTAAGCCAAAGAATGAAGAGGCAGCTCCAGTTCTTCCTCAAAGCAAAGCCAAAGCACACGCAAAGCCCAAGCCGGGAAAAGGCGGTGGCAAAGGCAAGCAAAGGGAGAGGTCTGAATCCACTGATGGGAAAAAAGAACGTGAAGCACATACGCTGCAAAATTCTTCTTTTCTCAAAATGGTGAATGCAGGAATGGTGACAAGTGCCCGTTTAGCCATTCAAAGAAGACACCTCAGCGTGGACGCGAGAGGTCCCATACAAGCGAAGGGATCCATCCAGAAGTCCTTCGACCCGTACATCGACAAAGGTATGTTATGCTTTCAAGAACACTGGTGCATGTCATCGCAACAATTGTCCTTTCTCTCATGATGTTGATGCTGCGCTGGCAGCCGAGGCAACTCCGAAGGCAAAGGTCAAGGCTAAAGCCAAAGCTTTGCCCGCTGCTCCAGCTATACGATTGTGTGGAGCATGGAATCTGCTTGCTCCCGCGATTCGGAAGAGGATCAATCCTGGCGATGATGAGGTGTCTGATTGATCATCATTGGACAGTGACGCTGATTCCGATAGCTCCACTGACGATGAGATGGTTGGAAAGACTTTGTCGGCCAAACCATCGAAAGGGAAGCGTGTATCATTCGCCAGCAGTGTCCGATTTCAGTCGTCAAGGCCGCGAAGATCGTACAAGAGACGCGGAGACCGTGGAGACAAGGCGATCAAAGTGGACACTGAGGCTGAGGCTCTCGTGGAGAACGAGAACCGGACGAACGAGTTGGGTTTCGCAATGCACAAGGCACCTTAGGCTCAGATGATGATTGACATGATGGGGGATGATGCACAAGGCGATCGACATGTATATGTCAGAGTACCAGGATCGAGCAGAGTCAGGGAAATTATCTTCTATGACAGCGAGGACCTGCTTATGGAGCAAGATCTCAACATGTCCGAGAGCAAGCAGGTCAAGACTTTCGGTAAAGTGACTTGTATGGTTCAGCCTACATGGATTCGGTCCAAGATCAAGTTTCTGATGGACACGGGATGCGGACACGACCTCATCTCTCAGCACAAAGTGGAGAAGCATGGTCTGGAAACCCTCGTGAGCCAAGAAGCTATCTCGTTTCAGACAGCAAATGGAGTCACCGACACGGATTTGATCTCAAACTTTCAGACAGAATCAGAATCCTTTACGGAACCGATCAATGCCTATGTCCTCGACGACGTGCCATCAGTTCTTTCAGTAGTGGAAAAGCGATGCATGAAGCAAGGATATGGTTTTCTTGGCCACCTGGAAGCGATGCTTTCATGATCAACCCAAATGGAAAGCGAATACCATTGTTCGTCAACGGCGACATCCCGTACATGCGCGCAGGAAGTCAGAAGTCAGTTGCGCGTGAATCAAGGCCATGTTCGACCAGATGGAAGAAAGACGGAATCTGCATCATCCACGGACGCTGCTGTCGCGACAGCGGTACCAGGAGAAGAAGAAAGAGAAGAAGGAATATTCGGTGAAATGGTCGAGGAACCTTCCCTGGCGGATGTTCCCGACGATGAACCTGGAATAGAAGTGCCGTTGGAAGAAGCAGGTAGACCTCCAGAACCACCTGATGATGAAGGAGATCGAGAACCCGTTGTGGACGATGAGAGAGTGATTGAAGTCGAGGGAGAAGGAGCACCTGTTCGCAAAGCGAAGATTGGTACTCTGAAAGCCGAAGCGAAGTCTCTCGCACGCTTGTGTACTCATCGGTACCGAAATCCTTATTGCGAAGCATGCATTCGTACCAAGGTGAAACACTTCCGAACGGAACGTGGTGCATTCAAGAGAGAGTTGAAATCATGGGGAGATCTTCTCACCTTTGACTTCTTGGACATGCGCAAAGTTGCAGACATGGGTGTGGGTAATGACGACGAAATGAGAGAGGTATTGGTTGTACATGATGTTGCCACCCGTGCAATCGCTGCGATACCTAAGAATCTCGAAACACAGACGCAGTCGTCGATGCTTTGAAGAGATCGATTGGAAGGGAAAAGGTGAAGCTCGCTTGCAGTGACGTTGCGCCAGAGTTTGACGCAGCGATGGCACAACTCCGAAGTCGGATTGATCATTCACTACCCGGTCTTCCAAGGAACAATTCTCTTGCAGAAAGAACCAATCAGGAAGTGATCAGCACCGTGGCTACATAGCGCAGTACTGGCCTTTTGCCTTGAACTGTGTGACTCACAACCTCAACATCGAGGATGTGGAAGGAGATGGTGACTCAGCGTGGAAAAGAATGACTGGTGAAGACTTCAAAGGAAAGGCGATACCATTTGGTGTAATCGTGTTCTTCAACCCACAGATACCAGAGAGAAGACCTACGCCGGAAAGTTCGACCCAAAGGGCATACCAGGCATTTTTGCGGGGTACGTGATCACAACTGGTCAACAATGGTCGAGGAAGTACAAAATCTGGGATATGGCTGAGCTTGCGAATGTGAACTTATCCATGAACGCTACAGTGCCACGCAGGCTTGCACAACCTTACCTAACAGAAGTGGTGGTACTTCCAGAAGAGTTGGTGTTTCCCTTGAAGAACGAGTGCGAGCGCATGAATTCAACGATCGAGGGACTGAAGGACAACGTGGATTTGCAAGGCAAGGAGATCAAAGATCATGATGAAGACAATAGGCCACCAGATGGAGGCGATGATGATGAAAACGATGACGATGACGAGTCGAAAGCAAAACCTCCACCGGAACCGGGAGAAAGTGATGAAGGAACAGGAATTAGACTACCACGAAGCGATAGATGCGACTGGTGACAAGCTCTTGGCACGCGCTGAAAAAGATGGACCACATCGTGGTGAACCGTCGTCATCTTCTGCCTTACCGAGATCTACGGGACCAGGACCTGTGGATGACATTGGACCGTCCGGCAGACTTATTCCGACAGGTGGAGAGGAAGATCCAGGAGAAATCCTACGTCGTCTCAAAGAATCCAAACTTGCATCCGATGACATCGAACACTGGCACAAAGGCACGAACGGCGATGAACGGCGATGGCAAGATCTATCTCAACGACGATGGGGAAGCGTGCAAGATCGACAAACGTGGTGTACCCTACAAAGTGGGTAGCGACGGAAGGCGTATTTGTTCCTACCCGACGACCTAAGCATCTCTACTGTCCAGAGGAATGGGATTCGATGGGTGCCAAGTCCAGAAACAAGGCGTACAAGAAGGACAAAAGAGACAGGGCCAAGGCATCGAAGAAGGATAGGAAGAGAACCGCTGTGGGCAAGAAGGTGGTTGACAAACTGTTGGACAAGATGATCTTTCCGAAGATTGTGCAGCGCGACAAGATTGATCTGGAATTGGGAAGTTCATGTAGCTCAAAAGCCCGTTCAACAACAGTTGCAAGATGAGTTTCTTGAGGACGTCGTTCCAGCAGTTCCTTTTTGCTCGGTATTCAGCGAAGTCTGGATACCCGCTATGCCATGTACCACATCGATTCCACAAAACCATCGTTAGTGGTAGCAGTAGTAACAACACTAGCAATAGCACATGCAGCAGAAGTAATGGTAGTAGCAGCAGGAGTAGGAGTAGGAGTAGCAGCAACATTAGCAGTAGCAGTAGCAGTGACAGTAGTGGGAGTGGTGGTGGTAGTAGTAGCAGTAGGTTTTTGTTCCAACTGTTATTTTTGTTTTTATTACCGTTGGCAGTAAGTTACACTGATGAATAACACCAATTGTTTCGGCCCCGGGTGCGGTATCCAATTCCCAGGACGGGAACATACTTCCGGCCATCCAGCGCGATTTTGCAGTCACGAACAGCTCGCAACTGTTCAATGCCGAACTTGGGCGTCAATTTCGGATATGCTTGATTTCTCCTTGGTTAAATAGTTTGGGGGCCCCTGGACTGCAGCTCAGGAACATCCTATCAATGCGGAGCGCATGCTGCAGAGCCTTGAGCAGTAGTAGCACTAGGGAAAGAAGTTGGATTGCATTGAAAACCCAAGACAACGTGGTTCCTGGTACCATGAGGATCCAGGTCTTCAAACGGCAATTGGATTGAGACTCGAGCTTGTATGTGTTTGTAAGCAAGTAAATTAGTTTCGGCCACGCCGATTTCGAGCTTGGTTCAGCTTCTAGGTTTGCTTCGTGTCTTCAAGGGACCCGAAAGGACGCTTGAAGAGAATGACCGTATCTTTTAGGTGTCAGTGCCCAGTGCGCGATTCTACGTCGCTCGAAACCTTGATTTTGAAAAGGTGGTTGGCCTTGGTTCGCATTAGGGGGGACGTTTTCATGTGTTTTTTGCTACTGGCTGAAGGCGAACACTCCGCTGCAGCGTGGCACATTGTGGTGACAATGTAATATCCGTGGGTTTACCTGAAGATAGTTTGACTCGACATGTGAAGGATGGATGGTAGAGCGTCCAGATTTGAAGGTTAAGATTAGGAAGCATTTTCTGAACTGGCTTGGTGCTTTGTCTGCCTTGCAGGCTCGCAGGATTCGGCAATCAGTTGGTCATGAGACGTGGAAATTCCTGGGGGTAGGTTTGCCGCAAAACAGTGGTGCAAAAACATCTACAGAAACCTGAAATCACGTGAGCTCTGCAAGAAAAAGCACACCAGACATATCTGCATGTAGCCGCACGAAGGCTGAAGTTACGCGGGTATGGTGATTTAGATTATCAAGGGCTGGTGTTGAGGGTGCCAAAACCCCAAGGGGCCTTCGTCAGTTGTTGTGACATGAAAATCAATTGAATTGGGTTTAGGGTCTGTGGTCGAAGGTGCTGCTCATGCTGAGGATGTCTCTGCACTATCACGGGATTTGGCCAAAGAGAGTGCACCGCTTTCTCGGAACGGCAGCGCCTCGGCCCTGTTCTAGGTTTTTACATCACGAGACACTCTCATGTCAGGGCTGTTGTTGCTTGGCGAAGAGTTTTTGTCAGCAACCTGCAGCAAGAAGCAGTGTAATCAATCAAGGAACTAAACATGGAAACTTTACCAGCAAAAACGAAATGCTTTTCACGCTCCTTGAACATGTCGAGTCTTCACTGTAGTTCCTTGCGTTGCTGAGGGCTGAAGCTTGGCAAGGTTCCATCGAAAAACTGCAGATGACATGTTGTAACGTTTCTATCTCTTAATTAGTGTACTTATATGTATATAATTGTAACTCTCTATATATATATATATGTATATACATATTGTTCGCGTATATGCTAAAATACATGTTTACATGTATGCTTACATGTATGCCAGCCCACCACATGCCAGGTACTGCCCCACAAATGAAGTTTGTTGGTTTGTTTGTTCATGTGTTTGTTTGTCTATCTGTCTGTCCGTTTGTGTGACATCCTGGGCACCTGGGCAAAGGAATCGAAACAGCAGGGGGTCACAGGGGCGCCTACCATCGGAGCTGCGGCCACCGAAGACCTCCGATGGTAGGTGTGAAAACGTACCGCGAAGCGACCAGTGAGGCCTGATGAGATGCAACTAACATGCCAACTCATGTCGTAGCTTCGGCTGTATCGGGATTTAAGTTTGAGAAACTGAATCGGTTGCCTGATTCACAAGTCCAAGTTTCGTCATTTTAAGGCCATGTGCTGCAGCCCTAAAGCTTAACACCTTAAACTTGGACCCCAAACCCCAGCCAGGCACTGCACTGCACCGCCAAGACGAAGAAGGTTTTGTGCTTCGGCGTCAACAACCCTGAGCTGGAGTGACCCAGATCTTTTCGCAACGGGGGCCCGTAATGCGAGTTTGTCGTCACTTTGATTTAGATCATAAGGCGGTCCCTGACATAATTCTGTTTGGGTCTGTTTCTCTGAAAGTTCTCTGAGCTTTGAAGCCTTGGTCTTGAGAACATCATGTTCATACCGTCGCCATTTAAGGAAATTGAGCTGATTGCGTAGCTTCGCAGTGCATTGGGAAAAGACCGCCAATTTCCAATTGGTAGCGGAACTGGTGCCCCCTCGGTGGGACCATCCTGATACCATAGGATCGCACGGCCTGGGCGAGCCCGATATCGACCCGTTGCATTTCCCCCCATTGCAATCATTGTTCAAACCTGACAGTGAGCGTAGCTGGCCTAGCTCTATGAGGATGCGATCTGCACTCTGACGCGATCGACACCCGCAAAGAAAGGCGCAAGGAGTGTCAGACGACTCCGGGAGTGAGGTCGAGGCTGCCAGCCCGACCTAAACTGCAGCCGCTGCACCCGTACCTGGAGAGGACGGGCCCGCTACTGAGGCACAAGCAGAAGGCATCGGATCTCCCCCGAGACCGCAAGCTGCAACCCCGAAGTCCAAGGGCTGGGGCTCCATCAAGAGCTTAAGCCGTGAAGGCGAGGACCGAGATGGCACACCCCATCCTTCAGAAAGACTTCGGGAGGAAGCCTTCGAGCTCGCAAGGGATATCGGCATTGAATCCCTGACTGCACTGGGGGATTCCGTGCATTCATAGACAAGATGCGCAGCATTGTGTTTCCCCGCACCGCGGAAGAAGCTCGTGAGCTCTTTCGTGCGGCCCAAAGGCAAGGCGCACTCGCACGTCAAGGCGACGAGAGCAATGGAAACTGCTTCGTGCCGTGGATAGCAGCATCGAGCTATCCGAGCCGATGCGTGTGGAGCTTCTTCTTGAGTTGTCGGGCCTACCCAGACAGGAAGCCATGGTCATCAAGTCGTGCACCAAAGACAGCCGCAACTTCGAGTCCGTGCGTGCTACCCTTGTGGAGTACCATACAGGTGTGCACCTGAGCGAGGGACGCACCTCAGGTGGATCTTATCAAGACCACCGCCGCAGCGGTAAGGGGCCAAGGCAAGGCTCTAGTGGCAAAGCTTATTCCCGAGGCAAGGGAAAACGTTTCGTCAGCAAGGCCTACATCGCAGATCATGGGGCCCTGGCCTATCCTGATGAGGCCACGACGACGACGACGACAACCAGGACGCCTACGAGGAGACCTCGTGCCCTGCTCTCGGGACTCGGGAATGAGGATGGCTACGGATACGACGCGTATTCCTACGCTGCTGCAGAGAGGGAGGAAGACGAAGGCGGGAGCTACTACAGAGCTACGAAGATTTCGAGCTCGAGGAAGATGAAGCTCTTGCGCTCAACGCCTTGGAGGAACTCGACCCAGACGCCATACAGTTGCAGTTGGCGTATGTCCCATCGGGCAACGAGACTGAACCACACGCCAATATGGTCAGCGACCTGAGTGCAGGTTTCAAGGGTGGGCCCGCGGCCCCATCTAGCAGCATGCAGATGGAAGGTGGCGATAGGATTAGGGCAGCACAAGGGCAGTACTTCCCGTAAGTTGGAGTACGTCACCTGTACCGCACAAATCCGTGAATTTCTAACCTGGTTTATTGGATGTTATGTCATTAACCACGGTTTAGAGGGTCGCCCCTATAGGGAGACGCGTGCATCGGTAGGTATCCCCGAGGAAACCTATAATCCAAGGACCAAGGCGAAAGGCCCGAAGAAGGTGCCACCGAATCCTCCGGTAAATCGGTGTGCTACCTGCGCAGACTTCACGTAACAAGGAAGTTCTGCAAACTTCGCGCGCAAAACCTGCAGAGACTGCGGCCACGTGTCCCTGGTGAACCGGGAGCACGTGACGTACATCCTGAGGCAATGCTGTTGATCAGAGTACCTGTTTATGCACTCGTCGGTAGCAGCAGAGGATTCTGGCGAAAAGTCGACGGAGAGGCAAGGACTGTGGGCACTGTAGGCTTTCAGGTCAGCGGGATCTTCCCAGCATTCTACTTTTACCGAGAGAATCAAAAAGTAGTGTGCGTCCTCACCACTCACGTGGCTGACTGTTTGCGGGCATCCATCAAAGGAGGTGGCAAGATCATCGACAAACTACTTACGAAGTTCGAAGCAGGATGTCGCGAGCAAGGCCGATTTAGGTTTTGCAGCAAGCAGTTCGAAAAGAGCGGATGACGTACTTTTGACGGCACTGACAATACCAATAAGATAACATACATAGACGTTAAGGCGAATCGAAAGCACTCGGATCTAGTAGTCCGAGGTGAGGAACGACAGCTGCTTTCCGTTGTAGGCAGTCTTTCATGGATATCTAGACAGGCAAGGCCAGGTATACTATAGCGTGTATCGAAGCTCCAGAGCTCGATAAACGGAGCTACCATAGCTACCTTGCGCGAAGCAAACAAGGTGCTGGAGCTAGCACTCAAGGGTAAGGACCTTAAGCGAAGGTACTGGAATTGCATCCGATGCGAGCTTTGCATGGGAATCTAATGATAGGTCCCAGCAAGGGAGGATTATCATGTCTTAGCTCCTGCAACGCAGTTATGTGATCTTGTGCCACATACGATGTAATGGTTGAATCGTTCTCGAGCACAACCATCAAGAGAGTGTGCCGTGCGACGCTTCGGGCAGAAACGCACGCACTACAGAATGAGAGCGGGCAGGAAGCTGGAGATCTGTGCTAGCCGAAACCTACGGGTTCAGATCCCAAGGGACCGAATGGGAGACTCTTGCGAGAAGAAAGGTACTCCACGTCAGCCTCACAGATTGTAGAAACTTAGCCGACCATCTGAATTCCGACGCCCCTGTGCGGGTTCAAGATAAGCGGCTACAAATCGAGCTAAGCGCTTTACGCCCATCTTCACAAAAGATGGCTATCGCACTTGTGAGGTTTACCCCGGTGGTTTGGACTGGATCGACACGGCTGCGGAAGCCGCTGACTGTTTAACGAAGTCAATGAAACCGGACTCTATATCCTCATTCGGTTGATCGAGTCTGGTGTGTATAAAGTCAGTATAGGGCTATGTTGTAGTATCGCAGGCACTGAATAAGACGACCATGTAGCCCATCTGTTGGGCAAGTCACAGACACCACTTGCAGGACGATACTACCAAGTTGGAGTATCACAGCATTCGTTAGGTGGTTGAGTAGCACATGATTGTGTAGCATGTATAGAGTTTTCTACGCTCAAGACAAGAAAAAAGCGTGAGTAGTCCCGCTTGTAGCTAGCGAACTCCCTCAGCAGGTCGAAGCCCGCCTTTAGCCAGCTCCGCTTCACAAAGTAGGCGTGCTCGGAGATAGCGACGGGCAACTCCCGCACCCGTCGGTTCGGCCCCGACGTCTTGGTGCGCCTTAGCGTCGTGACCAGGCGGCCCTCCACTAGCGCCAGCTCTGCCGGGACGATGGCCTGCAAGTCCGACCAGCGTAGCGAGGCCCAGACCTTCACCAACTTAGCCCAAGCCCAGACCCTCCAGCCAATAGCGTGCCCCTGGTCCAGGACCACTTGTTCCAGCTGTGCCAGTAGGAAGACCGGACAGCGGGGGGCTCGCTTTATCAAGCGGGCCCCCTCCGAGAGGATTTCGGTTATCTTGTCCTTAGCGGCCCAGGCTAGGCGCCCATGTGTAGCTCGCTGTTCCTCGGGGAATTCCGCGACCCGCTCTACCCAGGAGATAGCCTTGAGGATAGCTTCTGGGACCGAGCGACCGCAGGGCTCATCCCGGCGGGCTAGCAAGTAATCCACCAGGTCCGCAGGCACATACCGTCGCCATTTAAGGCATTTACGGCCCTTGAACTGATTGCGTATCTTCGCAGTGCATTGGGAAAGGACCGCCAATTTCAAACTAGACTTAAGACGTTTTAGATTTGGGGTCTCCGGCTGAGCGTTTCGAGAGTACGGTCAAAAGACCTAGGACCAAAGGAGGGCTTCTTGTGCGGACTACGGCTTAGTTGGGGTCTGCCCCTGCATTCCCACTAGCACCGCAGCTGTCCCCTCAGGCATGCCGTTGCGCATTCAGGTTTGGGGTATCACACATCGCAATCCACACTTTGTGGCAGGGTTTCGGCCAAGAAGCTGGATGCCGCGAATGAGCGCGCTTGAAATCAAAGTACGCTCTCAACTGACACGAAGACATCAGCGGCCAGAAGGTCGGCACATCATCATCCTCATGCCTGTGAATCATCCCTAATCTATATTCCAATCTTGCGAAGTTCAACTTCAAATTTCACATTACACTCCACCTGCAACAATCAACCATGAACCGGTAGAAGCTTTGTTACAACGTAATATTCACTGGTTTTCAGCATGGTTCAACTAGACCGTCGAATGTCGATGCTTGTGTGGTTTTGGTTGCAGCACCTGCTCATACCCTTGTATTCAGGAACTTGCAGTAAGGAAACAAAGCAACTCACAAAGCTAAAACCTTTGAGTGTCTACCTAAGCTTGGTAACCGATGTGAAGCGAAATTCCCACGTGTTTCAAGTTCAATTTTTCAAGAAGTATCGGGCTTAAGGTTTACAATCCATGAGCAATATATCCGTTGGCTACTTGTAGATTTCGGCTAAACTCCGTATCCGGAACCCTGCATCCCCAAACCCTTCAGCCCCACATCTGTGAAGTTCAAACCCTAAACGTCACAGGTGCTCCGAACGGATATTCACTGCGCTCGGCCCATCGGGTTGGCGAGACTCGCTGCTATGCTTGAATCATACAAGGGTCAGGGTCTCGGGTTTAGGATGCAACTACGGGGTTTAGAATGTAGGAGAGGAGGCTGTGGGGACGTGCAGGATACAGGCATAGGCGTCTTGGGGTCGTGGGCTTTGGTGGATCAGGGCTCCAAACACAGTTTTTTGCATAACACCCTTCTGTACTCTCCGAGGTAGTTCCCTTTCTCCTCATAACTATACCTATTGGTCCGGATCTTTCAACAACCCGAAAAGATCTGGATCGGAGGACAGGGAAAAGAACGGTTCTGGTGATGTTTCGCATGCCTCCGTTTATGCGAAGTTTGGAAATTGGATAGGGCTCGGGCCGATTTCCCCATCAATTTACTTCGACTCAAGAATCAGAGGCTTGCCATCGATCCATGCCAATTATCTTCCAGCACGTTTATTAGCTTCCTGATTTTTCGGTTCAATGTATTTCGTGGTGCACAACTCTTGCAAGGGCCTGCTCCTCTTCTTTCGATTATTATAGTTACTAGATAGGCCGTAGGCCTTGACTTCATAGCCCCAAGCACATACGGACCGGACTCCTTGCTCAAACCCCAACCCGGACGCCAGGTCTGAGTTCAGTGATGCCTACGCTGCTGCCAGCCGCTTACAACGTGGCTGGTCGCCAGGCTGAACATGCCGAAGGAACTAAGGTAGCGGCTTTGAATTTTGCATGTTGCGTGATTTTGCACAAAACTTGTGCCCAGCTTCACGGGTGGCGCGGATTGAATCAGTTTATGACAATTTCGGCTACGGGTGTTCGCCGAGGTAGATTTCGGAATACGGTTTAAACGGATGTACATGAGATTGAATCATGGCTTTTCGGAGGGGTAGGATTTCGGAATACGATGTAAGTATGATGCGAACATGATTTGAACATGATCTGATCGAACTCCGTGGCCGCCAGGACGTCTGCAGTGGCGGGCAAAACTTGGACAGGCTGTTTCAGGAAACAGACGTGCTTCATTCGCCCAGGGACCAGAAGGGGGGTGAATTGGCAAGGGAGAACATCCGCTCCCGCGCCTGCCCCTGGCCTAGAAAGACGCCGCAAGAGACTGAAGCAATCCGAATAGCCAAGTAACAACCGACACTGTGCCTTTGAAGCTGCGCCAATCAATCCCAGCAATTTGATTGGTAATTATCGCGTACTGTTGCTGTTGTGATTGCTGCCTGGATTTTGCTGCTCATGCCCCCTTTTCATAGTTGGTTTTTCAATTGTTCTTCTACTGTGCTTCTCCGTTCCTATGTTCGTGTTGGGGTTTCCCGTTTTTAGTTTTGGATGGTTCAATTATTTCCTGCGTGCCTGCAGCCTGATTGCCGTTTTTGCTTAGGTTCCAGTTCAGGTACCACCACAACCAAACATGGCGAGTTAGTTACTAGTCGATCTCCTATGTAGCAGCTCTCACCATACGACACATGCTCAAATAAAGGAGCATGCCTTCGAATCTGAGTACGCAGTATGCAATTGAAAGAGCAAAGCAGGTTCACCTACGACTCGGGCCTCAGGGAATAAGATCATCAGAAAGGTGGGATTTCGAATTGTAGAGAGCCCCGCAAAATCGACAAGCTGACCTTCTGGTTACAAGGAACTCAGCAGCTCAGCTAGGTTTGTGCCGGTGAGTTCGAGCAATCCCAAATTCTTTTCCGGAAACTCATGCTTTATTAAGTATGCAGCCTCGAATGTGTTCCTGTACTGGCCTTTCGTAACCCTTGCAACGGCTTATCATTCTAATACGTCGGGGCGACGTCAACGGAGGGTGAGACAGTTTCATCGCCCAGAATCGCCTACATCGCCTGAAGACCATAGAGCCCTCTACACTAGGTTGCTAAAACTGTAATTCCGGATTGGGGACTAGACTAGGGCTTTCTATACCCTCGGCAATCCCTCCGCTGTTTCGTTGTTTGGCTTGTTGATAACGTGATTAAGGAGCCCTGTGTCAAAACGGTTTAGCCAGAAAAAGAACTGCATTGGAGATTATTTTCGTAGTTAAGGTTCAAAATGCTCCACATAGAGGGCTTGAGGTTCAAGCATGTTGATGCCATGAGGATTGTGGGTTGAAGGTTCATTCTATTCAGGTGGTGGGCATTGACGTCTCCGCGCGTGCACATGGCTGCACAAGTCTGGAGCAGGGGAAGTACGAGAAGGGTGTAGCTGGCAGTGGTTCGGATTCGGCATGGCACTGAGGGCTGAAGTTATTTTTGGGGGCCTAGACCTAGACCCCTTGATCGAATTGTACAGTGCTAAAACTGTGTCCAAGAGAAGCCTTAGTTGAAGTCTTAGAAGCCCTGAACACCCGACGGGTTCAAAGTGTAGCTAAACCTTACAGTCCAAGATCGAGTTGCCGAACTAGGAACAAGTTTCTTGATCCATATTTTAAGTTTCGGCGGTTGTTTACTCTTGAGCAGCGATCTCTCACAACGATTCGGCTTAGGATTGAGGTACATGATACCGGCCATCTTACTAGGCTGCCGAAGTTTCGCACCCTTACCCAAACATTGTTTGGGTTATTCTGGGTTTGCAACGGTTTAGTCCTGCTACCAAACGTCAAGAGGTTAACCATTGAACATAGGTTCGAGATTAGTTTATTAGTCTAGTTTAGTTAGTTTCGACGTGCCTCACAAAGACTTAGAAGGCCCCGATAAGCCTGGCTACTCCGAAAGCCAGAGTCATACATCCAAGAGATAAATCCCACACATACTATCCAACATATACTCTGTAAGCATAGTCCCAACACCCTAGACCAGAATATCCTGCACCGTCAACTCTGTGACTCCCTCAACCCAGACCTCAAATTGGGGCATTTACCTCAAGCCACAAGTTGTGGTTGTTGTGCTTGTTTGAAAGCGATCCCAAGGTTAACCCTTTAGTCAAGCATGGAAGGCCTGCACCTCTGCGGCGGGCAATCCAATAGGCCACCCAAAGGCTCCATCTTAGCCCGTCTGGTACTGGGATCGTGCCTTTCTGTTGTTTTTTGTTAAACCTTGTAAAGGGTCTGGGAAATCCCCTGGAAGGTCAGCCCGGCACTTTGTGAAAGGAGCCGCTGTTGCACGGAGCGAGCCGGACTCGGCTCACCAGATTGCAATTTGACGAAACTTCAAGACTCCAAAAGGGGCCAGTGTCGGCAGTGTTTCATGACGGCTTGCTGGGTTTTGACACAATCGAACGTGCACTGTAACGGTTTATGTGGACTTATTTACCTCGGAGTTGTGTCTGTCGCATTTACATGACAGTGGCAGTTAGGGTGCCCACCCAGGCCCCTGGAGCATCTAGTCAATATTAGTCAGTACTGATCTGCCTTCCACGGCTCACTACATCCCTTCAATGTTTTCCTTGTGTGGGGTATCGAATTGGCGATCCGGGGTTTTGGAACTGTGCACCTGGCAGCCTTTGGGCTGGGGGTGTGCGCGGTGCCTGGTTCTAAACTACAGAAACTTTTTCTAACTGTATGCAAGACTTCGGGACACCTCTTCAACATGTTCCACGCGGATCTGTGGCGTAGCGGTTTAGTGTTTCAGCTACCTAAGCTAGGGTCTCCTACACAATCATGTATCTATGAAGCACCAAAGGCCCTGTTTTCTGCGCGTTCCAAAACAACACATTAAATATGGATGAAGAATCAAAAAGTCACGCATGTTCGTAAATCAAAGGGGCAGCAGGAATGCACTGCTGCAAGCTCTTGCACGGAATTAACATACCATACACACCTCTTTCTGGCATACTCCGCGAACCAACTTTGGTGTCGGTTGGTACAAAAAACCGCGATTGCCGCAACTGCCCAGGTTAAGCCAAGCTGAGCAATCAACCTTGTCACATCGGCAGGGACCTGCATAGTGAAGCCATGTTCACGGTCGTCATGGCCTTGGGCGCATTTGGGTGACAGCGGTGCTGCTCTTACGGGTGTGCTTGTAAGAAGCATGTATGTGCAGCATTATGCTGAAAGCATGCCTTACACATGCAAGCATAGTTCACAGCCCAGGGTTAAACCTCAAACCCAAAACTTCGGAAGAGCAAAACCTTAAGCCCTGAGCCGCAGCCAGGGGCAAAATCCTATGCCCCGAGCCACAACGACCAAGGCGGCAGCAGTGTTTGGAGCTATTCTCATTGCTGCCAGCAAAACTTGATGCTGTCCATTCGGGATACCAGCGGCATCCGAGAACTTCCCGACTGCTGGCCACTTCAGCTGCGTGGGATTTAAGATGTCAATGTTAAACATTCTGACCCTACTAGTCACAAACCGTGGTTGAGGGGAGCATTGCAGTGTGCCGTTTGAGGCTCTACGAATTAACTGCTGAGGAATGCAGAGAGTTTGCAGAAGTGATGTCGGACCTTTAGCCCTGAGGCCGAGACCCCATTCAGACTCGTATTTGGTGTTGAGGGTTTAGAGTTTCCTTCCGGGATCCGCTAGGACGCGTAGGAAAGGGCGTGCAAGCATTCGGGGCTAAGGGGCCACCCCAGCTTGATGACCAGAACTGCTTTGCACACCGCACTAGTCCTAAGGACAAAGGCTCTACTGAAGTCACCGATGTTGTTGATGACCACGACAACATCTTCGAAAGTGGTATTGACTATTATGAGCGTGTGGTTATGAGCTCCCCGAGTAATTTTGGAATTCGAGGGGCTCGGCTGGTCGTTTTTTTTTAAACTTGACTTAGGCGCAAACACAAGGGATATCTGTATATACATATACATGAAGATCTTCGTGTTGCTTTGTTTGTTTATTTGTTATTCAACTTACTGGCTTGTTTATTAACATGTTTGCTTACAGTGTTGTTCTATTCACTTCTCTGTTCATCCTCGTACATACACATCGACACAATCCATGCATGTGTATATATATATGTACACACACACTCACATACCTACATACATACATACATACATACATACATACATACATTGATACATACATACATACATACATACCTACATACCTACATACCTACATACCTACATACCTACATACATACATACATACATACATACATGCATTCATGATGTACACATGCATACATCAGGTCCCGCCTACGCCCAGTAATAGCTCTGGTTTTTGCTTTCGTGGAGAGGTACAAACGGGAGATGGAGGAGAGATATGGTTGCAGATAGCTATACGATCACATCTTCTGTTGCAGATACTACATTGGATGATCGCACTCCATACGAAGATGATTTATGTTCGTGCCGCGTTATGCTGTGGGTCTGTTTGGGTCGCTATTGTGGGGGCAGGACCGAACGCATACATGCCAAGCCATGAGGTCACTGTTGTTTTTTTCGAACCCTGATGGAAGTCGGCCTGTTTGCGACTTATGCTTTGATATGCACGACCGCTCGACTCAGAGACCCCAAACCCTAAAATTCAAACAGTGCACCCGACCATTTCTGTGCCAGGAATACCTTCTCGCATGGGTTCGCCCATGCGATAGGGAGGAATTTGACCACGTGCCTGACAGATGAGGTGCAAGCTTGGTGTTAAAAAAGCGACCTTTGCACTTGTCCGAAGTACAGGCTGGAAGCTTAAGGGCCAGTGTGCTTGTATGGATGAAAACCGAAGTACAATAAATGTGGAAAACAGGCTTACTATTGCGGTCTAGGGTTTAGGGTTCCGAGGAAATTGCGTGACTTGCCAAGATTTTTGGGGATTCCCAACTCCCAAACGAGAACTTGAATTGAGTGTTGTATAGTCGTTGGAAAGTGGTGCTGAGGTTTGCTACTTCAGAATACCTGGGTGACGAGCATGGTTGGTTAAACAGAAGCTGCAGCAATAGCTAACACCTTCTCATTCCAGTCGCCCCTGTACCAGCCTGAGGGCATTGAAGTCCAACTCCATGCTTTGTGATAAGACAGCCGAATCACTTAAATTAGTCCTGTAGGACATTTGTGCCTTGCATTGAAGACTTGCGCTGTTGGACTCGATCCTCGCACCCTGTGAGTGTGGAGAGGTTGATAGGCTAGGTCGGAAATTGTCGCGACTTTGCCACTCACAGACGGCTCCTGGGTAGTGGTTGCGCATGGGCTGCCGGCTGAGGTAGTGTACGGCGGCTCACCTGTGCAGGAACCATGTTATTGCAAGGACTCCCCCGACACAGAGGAACTTCTGCAACTCATCGCGAAAACTCAGGTGCCGCCTCTGATTAAACTCCCCGAACATAAAGCTGAAGTTTAGGCCCGGCGCTGTTCATATTAGGGGTATTCGGTTGGGTATCATCGTAGTCGTATTAGTATTAGTATTAGTATTAGTACTAGCATGACTAGTATCAATTACTAGCATTAGTAGCATTAATAGTAGTAGCAGTAGTAGTAGTAGTAGTAGCAGCAGCAGCAGCAGGAGTAGTAGTAGTAGTAGTAGTAGTAGTAGTAGTGGTAGTGGTAGTGGTAGTGGTAGTGGTAGTGGTAGTGGTAGAGCACCACTAGCACTAGCAGTTGCATCGCTTTGGGAATTCTCTAGTCTCTTCGGAGCAGTTTGCTCCTTCTTGTGAAATTATCCAGTTCCTTTCGAGCGGGTTGCTCCTTGTTTTCAGACAGTTTGTTCCATCTTCTGAAACTCTTTAGTTTTGTTCGTGCGAGCTGCTCCTTATTTGCAAAATGACTAGTCTCTTTCGAAATTCTCTAGTCTCTTTCGAACGGCTTGCTCCTTCTTCTGAACCTCTTTAATTCTGTTCGAGTGGGTTGCTCTTTCGGTTTTCCTTAGTCTCTTTCGAGCGGTTTGCTCTTTATTTTTAACTTGTCAAGTCGGCTCTTTCGAGCGGTTTGTTCTTTGTTCTGAAACCTCAAATTCCTTGCGAACGGTTTGCTCCTTATTTCCAATTCTCTAGTCTCTTTCGAGCGGATTGCCCCTCATTCTGAAATTCTCTAATTCCTTTCGAGCGATTTGCTCCGTATTCTGAAATTCTCTAGTTCGTTTCGAGTGGTTTGCTCCTTGATAGTTCTGCAGTCTCTGTCGAAATTCTCTAGTCTCTCTCACGCTCTTTGTTCCTCCTTAATGTTTTCGAGCGGATTGCTCCTTGTCTTCTGAATTTCTCTAGTCTCCTTCCGGAATTCTCTACTCTAATCTCTTTCGAGCGGTTTGCTCCTTATTCTGAAATTCTTTAGGTCCTTTCGCGCAGCATGCTCTTTCTTCTGAATTTCTCTAGATTCTTTCGAAAGTCTCCCGTCTCTTTCGAGCGGTTTGCACCTTCTTCTGAAAATCTTTAGATTCTTTCGAGTGGTTTGAGGTTTGCCTCTTATTCTCAGATTCTCGAATTTCTTTCGA